TGATAATCTTTTAGAGTAGTCCTGACCTAAAGGTTACTTTTTTAAATTGATTTATTTTTATTTTTTTTGTGTTGATTTTGAATTCAAATACGATAAAATGTGTTGCTAAGTGTATAGTACTAGATAAACAGACAGTAAACATGTCTTTTCTATTCTAAATTCAATAAAGGACTCTCACTCTTCTGATGTGTTAAACTTGGTGAATGACGGGCATGCTGGAGTGTTGTAGGTTCAAATTGCACATTACTGTAGTTTAATTGAAAAAAAGTGTCAGTTAAATGATAAATTAGTTAGGTCTAGTAAAAGTGTTTTTTTTTTTGTAAGCAGTATGTAAAACTGTGATTATGTTGTCAATAAAGATAAAATGATTGTAAAGGCAAGGATTGGGTTGTTAAATTGTTAGAAAGTTGATAAAGGGACAAATTCTGTCCAGGAAAGACCAAAAATGTTTTTTTTTTTTTCATGATACTGCTTGTTTTATGATGAAAGAAACACAATGCTGGCGTCATTGCTCGGCAAAACCAGGCCCTGACTTGAACGCCTGGCTTGGCGAAATAATTCTGATAGACATTGTTTTGACATTATATTCTGGAGTAAATAGTTTTACAGTCTTTCAGTGAAGAGTTGAATCAGGACCCATCCCTGACAAAGTACTTCTGGTTTTCGAAGATGAGGTCATGACATCTTTTGACTCTAGCAAATAAAAGATGAATATGCAGCAAAATAAAAATGAGTTGTGACAACATAGGCCTATTTATTTTGCTGCATCTAACTATGCAAGTATGCATGATTATTATGTTGCACTTTACTATTTGTATTTAGCATTGTTTATATCCCTGCTGTCCGTAACTCTGTCAGACCAGAACAAATTTTGGGGTCACGACCCAACAGTTGAAAGCCGAAGAATTCAAGTGTACGCATAAACAACCTGAGTTCATTGCACCATTGTTGTTTTGTTCGATTTCATGTTTTGGTCTGAGGAAAAGTGTGGAGTGCATGTTTCCAGCATTAGCGTGGTGTTGCTATAAGAAATACATTAAGGATGAAGCTTGAGTCACTTGTTTTCTTTCTTTCTTTCTTTCTTTCTTTCTTTCTTTCTTTCTTTCTTTCTTTCTTTCACACTCCACTTTCCTCTTGTCTTCTCTCTTTCACAATCACACTCTTTCACACTCTTCTCTGCCACTTTTCTTTATACTTCCTGTTTCTATTTCTCTCTTTACACTATTTTGACAAGGCTATGATTATCACATTCTCAATTCCAATCCATCATGTCTCGCAATATATTTACTCACCCACCTCATGTCTTTCTAAAACTATATGACTTCATACTGGAAGCTATTTTCCATGCAGCTTTCAAGCTTCAGAAAAAAGGTAAAAAAACTCCATAAAAGTGCCATAAAGAGGTTCATACAAATATCGCAAGTGTTCTGAAGTTAAATGAGGACTTTTTTTGAAGGACCTTTGTGAAGGAAATAGACAATTTTTTAGTCATTATTTAATGAAAAGCTCACTCTGTTCTTAGCGCATTCATGTGAATTCATGAACCAGCCGTTCATTTTAAACCGATCATTTCATTGAATCAGTTGGTTTGGTTCACAAAATAAGTTTAAATGATTTATATACAAATTGACTCAAGTTAACAGCCCTTTCTGTAGGGGAGATTATAATCTTAAGTATCTCAAATAATGATCATTTTAGTTTGATCCTCTCAGAATTTTTTTTATATGAATTTTTCTTTCTCCATTCTATGCAACTGCATTGAAAAGAGCAGCCAGCACTACTGTCTTCAAAATATCTTCTTTTATATTCCACAGAGGAACGAAAGTCATACAGGTTTGGAACAACATGAGGGTGAGTAAATGATGACAGAATATTCATTTTGGGTCAAACAGTTCTTTGCTATGGAAAATCAGTTTAGTTTGGTCATTTTCAAGTGTCCAAATGCCATTTCGTGACACATACATCACTAAAATATCACATTTTGTCAGTAGAGAGGCTGGCTAAAAGAGTCCACTCCCTCCCTCTTTTGTTTTTGCCTTCCATCTCTGTTTTTTCTTACGCATGTCCTCGCCAATGTCCGCTTTTCTTCCCCAGTCTTCTGTTGAACGTTTCCTCTTTTCATGTGTAGCTCCCCTTCCTCCTCTCTCCTTCACAGAGTTAAAAGGGAAGTAGGAGATTGTGGCCATAGCAGACTCAGCAGTGCCTTTAGTTCCCTGCGTAGTCGCAAACCCCTCTCCGGGAAATCTAGTGGAGGTTAGCTGACAGTCCAGAGATATTATCTAACCCCTAAAACCTGGAGCCATGTAAGTATCAGTCGACCTGATCTAGAGTTCTATTAAAAGTTCATACTTTTAATACGTAGTATGTTATATTGTTATATTTGGTCCTATCTGAGATAACATGCCAGTTTCTCACTGGGTTATGAACTCTTTGACCTTCTTAGCTCACATTTGTGTGTATCTGAGGGTGGCACGGGATCTTGGCAGCTGGCTGAACATCTGGGGCTGTTTTTTTTTTCATGATTTGTGGGTGATTCTTGGCAGATTTTTATTTAACGTCAGACGACAGGTCACAAGTGATATGTGGTGATTTAATAAAGTTTGATTTTGTTTAAGATAGAGTTCTCAAAAGGTATTACTGTAGACTTGGACTTTTAGAATAATATATTTAATGTCATGTCATTTGGATTAGGGGAGTATGCGCCACATTTGATTAATGTAAATGTAAATAGTTTAGCCTACAAAACTTTGAAAACACATTTTACCAGACCTTTTCAAATGAAGTTCAGTGGAAGAGAAACTCCAAGAAACATTGGTTGTGAAAAACAGACCTAACCCGTGACATTAAGATACTACCTATTGAACAGACTGTACTTTATTGGCAGGGTTCATATTGGTCCTGAGTGTAATTTCAAAAGTGTAATTTACAGGCCTGGAAAAGTCATGGAAATTAATGAAATCATAAAAAGGTGATTGAAAGGTGATGGAAATGTCTTTAGATAATATTCTTATGGAAAAAAATAATGGACACTCAGATCCATTTGATCTATTCATGTCAAATTAAGATTGATACATTAGCTAAATAGCATGAGACGATGAGATGAACTGTCAGAAGTGGATGGGGGATGAGGCAAGGACTCAGTTGCAGAGTTTAATGGGCTTTTTAGTAAAAAGAAAACAAACTATCAAAAATGATCCTGTATGGGAAACACTGTCCATTATCAAGGCAGGGCTTGATACAACAGCGAAGATATGATGACAATCTGGCACAAGAAACAGCAAACAGAAAATATAGGAAAGGAAATAAGGAGGGTAAAGAGGCAAAGGAACTGATAATCAGATAATAATTAGGTATCAGAACTTCATCTTCTGTCGGAAATGTCCTACTTCCCACTTTTGAAGTTGTGATTATGTCGCGTTCATGTACTTTGTTGTTGGAGAAAATAGGATGAGGACATCGGGTTTATTCTTGCCTATTTATTGGGGGGAATCTTATTAAAGCTAACATGTATTGAAGACTATGTAAAGAAGTCATTTTTATCTAAATGTAGTGTCCCATTTGTTGAGAGCTACATAAACATTCACTGACAGGCCCTCAATTTTGATTTGTAAAATGGGGAGGGTTGGGTTGACTCTTGGGGGGAGGGATTTTTGTAGACATTAGGGCTGTGAAACGATTAATCGCGATTAATTGCATCCAAAATAAAAGTTTGTGTTTATATAATATATGTGTGTGTAGTGTGTTTAATTATTTTGTATAAATAAATAAACACGCATGCATGTATATATTTAAGAAATATTTCCATGTATATACTTTTTATATATTTATACAAAATTCACATTATACATAAATATAAATATTTGATAAATTAATAACATTTTCTTAAATATATACATGCATATGTGTGTATTTATATATACAAAATAATTATACACACAACACACACATATATTATTTAAACACAAACTTTTATTTTGGATGCGATTAATCACGATTAATCGTTTCACAGCCCTAGTAGACATGTTTTTTTATTATTATTATTATTATTACATTTATCAGCTAAATGTTTGCTCACTCAGTGTGTGTGGTTTTTTATGATGGGGTAACTGCAATAGTTACAACATAGCACAAGGAAGCTTGAACTGAATTTACAAAAAAAAGTCAAGGAGTCAAACTGCAAATAGTAGCACAAATATAAACACAACAAATATAAACACAATAGCATATTTATAAATGACAATATATGATAAAAGCAGTGCTTTAAGTATTTCAGGTAGGTCTAACGATAGTATCCATGTACAGAAATGCTAGAGAAATTAATTAAAGTAATTCAATGTAAAATAATACTGATTAGTCTTCAATTGTATAAATTAAATACAGACTAATCCTAACAATTAAAGCTATTAAAATGTATGGTTTGTAAGATTGTTTAATGCTTTCATACAGCAAGGATGCATTCAATTAAATGATTAAATGAAAAGTGACAGTAAAACCAAAAGTTATTTTAATGCTGTTAAAACTGTTATTGCACCCTTGGTGACTAAGAGACTTCTGTCAAAAACATACAAAATACCCCTCAAAATATCTTTTGAACAGTAGTGTAAATGTGGCGGTGGTGTGAATGGACATATGACAAGCAGTTTGATATACAATGGAAGGATGGATGTGTCCTGTTCTCTGTTAAATTTCATACAATGGTGAAGTTTTCATTTTAATCTCTCCCCTTAACAATATTATTTAAAAACCTAATGATCTGCCACCATATGCTGATTTTAGTCGACGATTAAAATGAACATGCCTGACTAAATTATCTAATTCGTAAAACACAAAATCATAGATTTAATTGTGAGCATTTGCTTGATGTGACTAATATAAAGTCTTTCTCTCTTTTTCTCCCTCACCGTTCTCTCTCCCTATTTGTGTGTGTCTGTGTCTTACTGTTGCCCTGTTTGTGTGTTCCTGTGCATTCCGACCTGTGCTATATGTGTTTGCGTGTGAAGGAGAGGTCCGCGGCCTGCGGGGGGATGACATGCATGTGTCCAGGCATTTAACATCATTGAGGATTTTAAGACTAGTAGGCTGCCCTCCGCCAAGCCATGATGGACATTCTGGTAACTGGCCTTTTTCTCTCATTGCTGTTTGTGTTTGGGGTGTTTTTGTGGTGGTTTATTTCCGTGAAGAGTGTTCTGATGTATTTTGCTCATTTTGGTTTCTTCAAGTGATGTCTTGAATCTGATAGATACTGATGGATATTGTTTGTTGTATCCTGGACCAGACTGAAATGGAATTACAGTACAAACTCCATAATTCAGAAAGTTCCCTTTTTTTGAAGGGTTAGTTCACCCAAAAACAAACATTCTGTCACCATTTATTGTCATTTATTTATTTGAGAACATGCATTAGAAGTCAATGGTCACCAAACCTGTTTAGTTACCAAAGTTCTTTTTTGTTCAACAGAAGAAAGAAAGTCTTTCAGGTTTGAAACAACTAATTCATTTTTACTAATTTGATGATTAGAGTGAAGTACTTCTAGCTCAGTCTAACTGCATTTTACCAAGTTTAAATCCCTTCCAGAGATTTTCCCTCTAAAGTCAGTGCAGAAAATGTGGAATCCGTCTGGTCCTGGTTATACCCATATATCATGATGTTGTGTGTTTTCTTTTCTTCACTTACGATGTGTTGTTCGTGTTTAATACTTGGGAGAATTATTCTGGTCGTTGCTGGAATTCTTTTACTTTACAGCATGTGAAGTCTCTCCCGGTCTGCTCTCCTCTCCTTGAGTCTCCTCTTTTCTCCTCACAGCTCATGTCTCCTCTCATTTTTTCCACCTCTTGTCACCTGTCCTTTCTCTTTTCCACATGCACAAACACACCAATTTATAAAAACCTCACATAAATGTTTTTTTTTTAAATTAAGCTAATTATGATTATTATGTCCAGTATCTGAAGACAGTATCTGTCTTTAGCATGATTTGAAGATGTTTTACTCAGAGTTTCCGCTAGAAAAAATGGTTTCGTTTTGGTTTCGTTTTACGGACTTTTTAATGATATGCCGATCTAATATCGTCTATTAATTAGTCAAGTTGAGGAAAACTGGAGGCAGGCTATGTAACTTAAAAAAATGACATAATCAGGCCGTATAGAATACAACATGTTATATTATTAGTCTAACTTTCAAATAGATGAAAAAAAAAACATGAACATCCAAGTGGCGTCAATCAACATCAATTGTTTTTTACTATCGTTTCACACACATTCACTTTTTGAAACATTGTGGCACGGATGTACAGTACCTGATACATATAAATAAAACATCTCCAGTTAACTAGCAGATCATTCATTTAGTTTGCTATTAAACAAGAGATCTAGCTCTAAAATCTGTTGTTTTTGAAATCAAGCTGAAATCACAAAAATAAAATGCACACAAACGTGTCCCTGCTTGATATAGGCTGTAAGCACTGACGTACATAGGCTATTCAGTTTTGATGAGAGAATAAAAAAACGTACGAATTGCTTACTTAGCTTACGAATGCGCGGATTAGAACGACTGATCTTTAAAATGAAATGTTCCTGATTCGCCATCGCCCGTCGCATCTTGCCTCCTTTTAAAAGCTTTTAATGCTAGCCAGCCATATTTGAAATGCCTCACTCAATCTTTCATTGTTTAGGTCTATATTACAGCCGTTTTAGGAGTGCGCTTTATTTGAAATGTAGCATGCGATGTTGTTTAATAACTTTCAAACGCTAGAGCCTGTTCCTTTATAACATAGCCAAAAGTTGTTTATTTTTGCTTTATACATTTTAGGTTTATTCTCAAATTCATATTGCATTAGGGTGGCGGGATTATTACACAGTTTTAATTGGACAATTTGACCGGCGAGATTTAATTTTGTCGAACATTTAATTTTAATCCCGTAATTACCGCACAACGGAAACCCTGGTTTTACTACATTTCCGGTATTTTCAGAAAGGCGTCACCCTTCAAAAGCGTGCACACACACACACTCAAGCTTCCGCCCTGGGGTGCGTTTCCCGAAAGCATCGTTAGCCAACTATGGTCGCAAGTTCCGTCGTTATCTGCATAGTTCAACGAGTCGGTGTTTCCCGAAACAATCGTTCCAACAAACATTCGCAAACAGCATCGCAAAGTTGTGTGGTTTGAACGACAGCTCTCTACCTGTGATTAGAAGCATCGTTTCTATATTGCATGACATTTGGACTTAATAAATCCTTATCTTGAACTAAATAAGCAAGCTGACATTCAGTACAACCGGTGCCATTTATTCAGTATACAAATGTAATTTACGTCTTTTAGTTTGTCAAAAGATTTGAAGTAACGTGTTTGAAGAGTGCGCATGTGCGAACGTGCTCTACTTTGTAAGAACGAGCCAAATATTGAGTCTGGTAATAAAGCAAAACAACTGAGAACAAGTAGAAATAGTCCTCAGATGACATGTTTGTAAATTATATAAAAAAATCTAGTGTTAATTGGATCTCAAACAGTTTCATTAAAAGTAGTTATTATTCCACCACGTGCGAAACCAACGTGGTTGAACGATACCTTGCGACAGTGGGTTTCTGGAAACAGTCGTGACTAGCTAGTTGATTTCTCCAACGATGCATCGTACTATGGTAGTGAAGCAGCAAGCTACGTCGTTTTACGGGAAACGCACCCCTGGCTAGTCTCGGTCCATCAAAGCTCACAGAACAGCAGAGATGGATGGAGAACAAGATGCTCATTAAGAGACAAAGACTGCTAGGAAGACAGCAAGAGAGACAGAAAGGAGAAGTCTGAAGAAGAGGGAGGGAGTGATAAGTCACATGATTCATGACCAGTCCGCCATGGCATCTGGATAAAGTTAGAGGAAAGCAAGATTTAGATCTAAAAACAGACAAACAGACAGACAGTCATTCTATTTGTGTGTGTGAGAGAGGGAGTTTTCCTCTCGTCTTTAATAGCACAGAGCAGCTTACTCATATATCCAGCAGTTTATTTAGTTGCATGTCTTTCTGCAGAGCACCTCCCAACTCCATAGACTAAAGTTTGGCTCATATATTTGAATATAAAGCAAACATTCTCTCTCTCTCTCTCCCTCCCCCTCTCCTGGTTTAAGTTTCTTGCCCTCTGGAGATCTCTGAGTTTCTCACGCTTGATGCCAGGTTGGGGGTTCTCTGTGCTAGTGCTCTCAAGCCTGTTGGTTTTGATACTCCTTTTAGAAAACAAGCGGCTACGTCTTTTTTATAAGGGATGGAGGTGGTGCAGCCTATAGTGGATCTGGGCTGGTTTCCAGAAATCTCAAGGCTTCAGTCCAACAAGGATTGATTCATGCTGTAGTGTTCATGCATGAATGTTGCAGAAACATGGGCAGAATGCTAGTGTTGTGCATACTGCGCAGTACACAGTATGCACCCTAGATAAAGGCCGACCGATAAAGGATTTTGAAGGCTGATACCGATACAAATATTTTTGGGTTTTAAAATCCGATATTCCGATATATCGGCCGATATTTTATTTTATTTTTTAAACTGGACATGATAGTCACAAATTTTGTCATGCTTATTTGAGTTAAGAGAACTGATGGGGATGTTCTTTTAATTGTTATTCAAGCAATGTATGTATCGTAACCAACTCAACAAGTGTTTCCAACAGGAACGGTGTAGAGTGCCCTCTGGTGGACAAACTATACAACTCCAACACTCATGACATGGTTCAAGCGTGTTTCGTCCGTTTTTTTTTTTATTTATTTTTGAAATATTCATTTATCGGCCATTATAACTGCCGATACCGATAGTTTGGAAAATGCCTAATATCGGCCGATGATATCGGTCTGCCGATATATCGGTCTGGCTCTAATACACACAGTATCCACTAGGGCTGGGCGATATGGCCAAAAAATCATATCTCGATATTTTTTGGTCAAATGGCGATATACGATATATAAGTTGGGTACTTTCTAAGTTTTCTATTTAGATAAAGAAAATCTTTATATTTAAAAAAAAAAAAAATATATATATATATATATATATAAAATATATATATATATTCACATTCGGTCCCAATGATATCCTACAACAATGTTGATATTGAAGGATTATGGAAACAAATATAATATAGGCTATGCAATATATTATGTGCAAAAAGCTTTTGTTTTTATATGACTAAAGCTAAACTCAAAATGAAAATAAAAACAAAAACAAAAACAAAAAGAACAAACTAATTATATTAGCCTGCATTTGATTACCCCATTATTAATCACTTTCACTTTCATTAAAAATATATACTTGTAGGCTTTAAAATTCCACATATGGCACATTTATTTTCGCCAACAACAAATATTTTTAGCAATATGTTTTTTAGTCAGAATTATTGCGTACTACTAGTACTATTCACGCGTATGCGCGCGCCGGCGCTCGTTCAAGGAAGATGAATTTAGCGGAGATTCACTTGCAGAAGCTCGTCCTTTCTGACATGGACATATTTGTTGTGAAAATGGACATATTTGCTTTACTTTCTAACATTTTACAGAGGAATATACCTGTGAAATTAAGTTGAGCACTGAGGAAAGCACCACATCTCAAACGCATTAAACAGCGCAAGTTATATCTGTCAGTTCAGCAACAGTGTCTGTCAGAGCATTTGACAGGGCGGCAAGCTGCCTTAAACTTGTTAACTATATCAAAGTGATTTTGACGCAATTAATATAAGCTTGTGTCATGTTTAGGACAAATTGTACTACGTAGCCTAGCTACTTTCACTGCAGCAGCTCACACTGCAAACTCCGCTATTTTTCAGATGTGCTCATATCAAACTACTGTATCGATATAAACGGTATTGCCTCATTCCATATCGTTTAAAAAAATATAACGATACATCGTACAAACTCGATATATCGCCCAGCCCTAGTATCCACCTTATTTTGCAAAAAAGTTAGCTATTTTCTTGTGATGTGTGAGCTTTCTGATTCAGTAGCCGCTATAGGTAAAAAAGTTGAAGAATATCAAAGTGCAATAACTATTTGTGCTACAAACCAGTATGTGTTTATAATTCTGATAACGAATTAAAATAATAACAGCTAACAAATAAGAAATAAATAATTAAATGGAATCTATAT